ATAAGAGGAGGATCTAAAATTATGTAAGGCCATGACAGATACCCTTTATTCTGCATTTTAAACAAAAATAATGAAAACAATATGCAATCCATATTTAAAATGCCTTTGAAGTAGTTGATACAGGGCTAGCAAGTTGGGACCATCTCTTTCTTCTGTCTGTTTTTTACCTCTGTGTATGTACTCCTAAATTGTTTGCTTTTATGGATGATTCCTCATTAATAGTATAGCAACAGAGACATAATGGGAGCATGATAAGGGCCCCAGCCTTCTTGCATTCTGAAAATGTTCTATGTTCCATTCTCTACAGCATCATTTACCTTGTATATGGGGTGTCCCATTTATCGCGGACGATTTTAATCGCATTTAAAATTATTCCTACTTTAGAAAAATAAACAAAATTTTCACAATATTTAGATGTGTGTTTAGCATTCATTGTGACAAAGTTTCAGCCAAAACAAATTCACCAATTACAAGCGATGAACTTCAACATGACCCCTGTCAATTTCAAGCACTTTTTCCAATCGTGCCTGGTATTCAAGCAGTGTTTTCTGGCGCATTTCAATGGTAATGTCTCCAAACGCAGCGGTAATATGTTCCTTCAGTTTGGGAATGTCCCTCAGTTTGGTCGCATAGACTTTCGACTTGACAAAGCCTCACATGAAGAAGTCGCACAGCTCTAAGTCTGGAGAATAGGCCGGCCAGGGCATTGTTGGTCATCCATGACCCATCCATCGATCCGGAAACTTTTCATTCAGCCAGGCATGAACTTCTTTACCGAAATGAGGCAGGGCACCATCCTTAACGCCAAAGAAAAATTCTGGCCAGAAATTGAATCACAAGGATTGGCAGATGATCTGGTCTTCATGCAGGAACATCACTGTTGAAATGTGCCAAAAAACACTGCTTGAATGCCAGGCACAATTGGAAAAAGTGCTTGAAATCAACGGGGGTCATGTTGAAGTTCATCGCTTGTAATTGGTGAATTTGTTTTGGCTGAAACTTTGTCACAATAAATGCTAAATAGACATCTAAATATTGTGAAAATTTTGTTTATTTTGCTCAAGTAGGAAGAATTTCATACACGATTAAAATTGTCAGCGATAAATGGGACACCCTGTACATCTACAGCTTCATCTGCCTCAAAAGCATGCATAACTCTTACGGAAATGGAAACTACTGGTTCTAATGGTGGAAGTACTCCAACAATTAAAAGTGATAACCATTGCTTAAATTGAAATAAACATGATGGGTGATGGAAGACCAGATGAATAAAAATCCTGTAGGGTTGAAATTAACACAGACTATTTTTCAGCCTATTCTACAAAGAAGCAATACAGGTCTTAATTGATCTAAGACATACAGAGTTGTGGATATCTTTAATTTCAGGCAGATAAGAAGGAATAGAACTGGAGAATTTCTATGAAAAAAGCAGAACAAATGAAAAATTCTGGAAAATAAAACAACCCTTCATAATGTACCTGTAACATGCTTATGCATGCAATGGTCAGGAGTCATGTCCTTTTCAAATTCATGCCCATGTACTTACTGTGTTTCAGCATATCACAATATCATGATGGCTGGTTAGTTGAAAGCCATTATCCAACGATTTTAGAAATTAGGATTTGAAACTGAGAACCTATAATCTTATCCAAGAGGAGTCTCTTCACGTCTGAAGTGATAGTACCCAATTGGTACTTTTTTCCCTCTGGGGTGGCGAAGATTATGGGTGGTGTTAATCCACTTATTCACTCATAAATCCTAACATATGAGAATAGAAAGGGAGCTCTGCTATATGATAAGACTCTTGCACTGATAAGTTTCAATTCCTCCCACCTCCCCCAGCTAATTTCTTTCCAGTGTCTGAAATTACTTGACTGAGGGTAAATAAAGCTTGTTTTTCTTGAATCTATCTTTGCTGAAAATTTTGAGAACATCTTCAATCAGACTAAAGGCTGACAAGCCCGAGTACCTTCTCGGCCAAGCTCGCAAAATTATAGAATGGTTCAAAAAGGTGAGAAGAGATGGTGGCAGCAGTCTGGAAGAAGGCTTTTGCAGTCTCTTCATTTCCTTTTCGTAGCTCCAGAATTCCAAGGTTGTTGCAAGCCTCCCCATGACCTGCATTGTGAGCCAAAGCCAAGCAGAAGCACTGGTGTGCCAGTCCCGAGTCACCCAGGCCCTATGTGTAGTGACACGGAATGGCATGCAGCTAATTTAATACAATGCAGATTTGGCATGTAGGCACACCAAAGATTGCAAGACTTACAATTCCAATGTGACCCAAATTGTACCAGATGTCAGCTGCAATGGTGGGATCCTCAGCAAGACCCAGTGCTCTCTCAAAACAACTCAATGTCAAATCATACTGTTGGGCATAAAAGCAGCACAGGCCGATGTTGGCAAACACTTCAGGGCTATGCAGCCCCATCTGAAGGAGACGTCTGAAGGAGAATGCATGAGAAAAAAATACACCATTTGCAGGCCTTTGATTTTTGCAGAAATTTGTCAAGCAAGGAAGGGATGGATACCTGTAGAATCGGAGAGCAAGCTCAGGTTGATCACTGTAAAAGTGATTAAGCCCAATGCATGCTATAGCTTCAATGTTCATTGCATCAGATGCCACAACACTTCTATACATTTTCACTGCATTCACCTGCTGACCCAGAGCTTCATGGATCCTGTGCAAATGATTAATGAATCATCATCTTGTATGAGATGAATGCCAAGTATTAATACTAGTAAGGGAGGCAGGTGACAAACAGATGTATTTCTCCTCTGCAGTTGAATTCCCAGTAATGGTTTTATAAGTTTACATATTGCAAAATCTTTGCAGAATTATTACCACCAGTTATGCTGAATTTTTTAAAATTGAGCAGAGAATGGGTAGCATTTCATAAGATTGCTTCCATGTGAAGAGATTGAAATTTTTCTTCCATCACAGAAATTTATGTATGCTCATCGGCAAAAAAATAGCATGACCAAGAAAGATCTTGATGAAATTTGTGACACTGCTTCATACTAGCATACTATGAAGTTGTTTAGAATTTCAGGTGGGATGAATATTAATGGAGAAAACATGCCAATTAATCCAATTTCAATAGTGGCCAAGGGGTCATACTAATCACCCAAAACGGTTACATAGATGGTGTTTACTGATGAAATGTGGTATGAACACTCCTAAAGATGTGCAAAAAAATCAAGCAAAGTTTCAAGATTGTGAGTTGAAGCAATTTGGAGAAAACTTGCTAAATGCTGGAATTAAAGGGGTGAAGGGTTGACGCCATTGAAGGCACCAGTTTCCTTTCTTCCTTCAAGCCACTTACTTATTGGGCTGTTGTTGAAAGTTCAATCACAAGGCAGTGCAAAGATGAGATCTCTGGAGGCAATTTCAACAAGCTGTTCGGATGTTTCATCAATGTAGGGTAACTGGGATGCTTACATGCATCATAA